ACGCACGACCTCTTTTCATTTTATGTTTTGCTCCCATACATCTAATATGTGTGGTGATTTATTTACAGATGTCATTGGTATCGTGATAGGGTATAATGATTTGATGTTAATTATGAAAGATGTTCGGCTTAGTAAGAAGGTGTCGTTTGATTAAAGGAAAAATGACTCATACGTCTTATGAAGTTTCTAGGGTTTACCCTTTTAGTCCCTAAACTATTTTGATGGCTTTATGAGGGAACCAAGTCCTTTTTGTCGGGTCGATTAAGTCCTTTTGGCCAAAGTGAAGGGGTCACTCGGTTACCCCTTTTCCACATTGGCATTTGTTGACCAATTCCCCTTGACTTTGAATTTTTCCAATTTGTTGACCAAACTTGCCACATCACCAACTGTGCTCTGTTTGAATTCTTTAATTTGGAGAGTTCAAGGAGGCTTCTTTGATGGCGGTGCTTTTGACTAGCCCTCACTCCATCAAACCCTATTCATCGCAAAATCAAATGTCAAGGAAATTATACCATGCTCTCGTTTGTCTTATTTGTCTAGCACAAAACGTGAAAGGAAAAGGGCCAAGACGAATCAACGGCTTCAAAGGGGGTGTTTGTCTTTGAAGTCTACCGGTAAGGTGGAGGGTGGGACAAAAACCGATTTCCGGAGATCAAGCTTTTAAATCGACGTTGTAGAGACTGAAAATGATAGCAATAACCGTAGGGATTGTTCTGGTGACCTCTAGATTTTTGCCTTCCAGTCCGACCAGCTGGAATACGAAGGGGAAAGAGGCAGATCGGTGATGGGAAGGCTGCAAAGACCAACAGAAGGAGGTGGGGAGGTCGATTTCCGGTGGCCTTCAACTTCGATTTGGCCATCGTCATGGCCGATCTGGTGTTTGAGGGTAGAAGCAGCTCACACATGGGTGTTTGTGGTGGTGTTGCTCGGCAGGAAGAAAAAGGGAGGGCCCAAGTTTTGGGTATGTGACACTCAAACCGGTTATAGCAAGTCAAGAGGACTAAAAAGACAGGTAGACCACAAGTTTGTTCCCTCATAAAGCCACTTAAAAAGTTAAGTGACTAAAAGAGTTAACCCTAAAAAGTCTATAAGGCGTATATGTCATTTTCCCTTTATTAAATGATTTCGGGGAATACAAAATTAGCTCTACAATTATATTTACTTTTTTGGGATGAATCATAAGATGTAAACTAATGTCAATGGTTGTTTGTTGTCTAGATTGGATCATATTCGTTGTACTTTGTGAGGTGAACCTGTCGGAGAATTTGCATCTGTGATTAATATTTTTCTAGTGATGAACATGTGTTGTCGGTCATCCATCTTGGTAAAGTTCGCCAATGGCAATGTTAGTTCGTATATGTAAGATGTAATGGTTCGTTAAAAGAATGAGGTTTCAAATTTAACTTTTTATAAGTTTGCCCAAATCTGCTTGTAAAAGGCCACTTTGTGGTGACTAAATGTTTTTCTAGGACAAGGTTCATTGTTAACTCGACATATGGAGAAATTTCTGGATTTTGAAAACAATATAGACATGTTCAAAATATAGAAAATTTTGTATGATTTAACCTTCGAGGAATTTGCCCATGTTTACCAAATGATGTTGGCCATTGCTCTTAGGGAATTTGAAGAGGTAATAAATATTAATTTTCATATAATTTCCATTACTAAAGTTATTTTTTTTTTGTTATTTGGAAACACATTTAGTGTTGGTTAGGAAAATAATAGTTATTTAGAATGAGCAACATTGGTTCTATGTTGCATGTTGAAAATGTCATTATGGTGTAGAATTTCATGTCATGGATGGTTTTAGCATAGAGGAAATGTTCGGTGCATTTTATTTGGTACTAGCGGCCACACCAGTTGCTGCTATTTCTTTTTTTTTGATTATCAATTGATTTCCAACCATTAGATAGATGAAACTAATCAACGACTTGGGTTCGTCCAAAAACACTCACACGGATCATGGTTACCAGGCATTACCGGCAAAACCTATAGCGGCGACGCAAGCAATAGCGACGACACTTTCGAGTGTCGTCGTTGTCGCTTGCATCGCCGCTAAAGGTGTCATCGGTAATGACTGTATTTCTTGTTGTGAACGGTATAGTGTCTCATAAGAACCAACATACGAAAAGAAATAAAGAACCTAAATAGGTGAAAGAGTAAAAACTCGAGATGTTGATTGCCTTACCTGCTCGAAAAATAAGAAAACAAACACTCGATAACGTTTATTTCATGTAACCTGCAATAAACACAAAGCAAAATCAGAAGGAGGAGACGAAGAGGGTGATAGGTAGTGCGTGTGATGATGATTGGTGCGATGGTGGTGAGTGGTACATGATAGTGGTGTTAATGGTGGATTGTTGTGATAATGGTTGTGTGTGTGGTTATCGGCATTACCAAGTTATATCACTTCAATTTCAACACCTTTGGGGCTAATAAAAACCCTAGATATATGGACATACATAGGAAATCCTAACGGGTTGATACGATAATGGAGAAGACGGGATTTGAAGATATACAAGTATGTCGTATTATGATATGCGTAGTAATGGGGGAACATGGGACAAAAAATAAATCCAATTGGTTTCAGACTTGGTACAACCCATGGTCATCATTCCCTTTGGTTCGCACAACCAAAAAATTATTCTGAGGGTCTGCAAGAAGATAAAAAAAATAAGAACTTATATCCATAATTATGTACAAAAAATATGAAAACAACTTCTGGCGTCGAGGGAATTGCACGTATAGAGATTCAAAAAAGAATCGACATGATCCAAAACATAATCTATATGGGATTTCCAAAAATCTTAATTGAAAGTCGACCCCGAAGAATCGAAGAATTACAGATGAATTTACAAAAAGAATTTCATTCTTTAAATAGGGTGTATCGCTAAATTCTTGTTAGCTTTATTTAGATATAGAGGATATAAAGGATATATGCTACGCGAATAAAAATGATTTTTGGCTGGTTTTTTTAGAATAGACCACCAGAGTGCCGATATTTTCAGTATTTAAGTTTGTAATGGTGGGGCATATTATTAAACATGATTCATTTTTTTTAACAACAGCTTGACTGGTTAGATGTTAGTGTTAATACTCCAATTCATGTTAGTACCAAGGATCGAACCCTGACATCCCTATTCTCCCATACTAAGAGGTTATGCCTCTACCAATTGGGCTATTCTCAATTGGTCTAATTCATTTATTAAAATAAGAACATTTTATGCTTAAGGGATATGATGGATTAGATTTTGTGTTCAAACTTGAAACAATTTCATCTTCGTCAGATGATGAGTTACACGCGTTTTATATGAGGAATTGCGTGCGATGTAATGATCTTGATGAGAACATAATGCCGATGGGAATAGTTTTAATGGTTTGTTCCGGCGGCGTAACTTTACTTTTCCCTGTACAAACTTTAAAAATTCTCCGGAATACAAAAGTGACTAGTAACAAACACTTTAAAATTTTATTGATTATTGAAGATATCATAATTCTGAACAAAAGAGATGAAACGTAATCATCATATCATCATATCATATCATATCATATCATACTATATTATAAAGGGAGCATTTTTTCTTTCACCACATTCATTTGAAACTCTCATGCATTTTTCCTTTCACCACATTCATTTGAAACTCCCATGACTTTTCAATTTCTTTCTAATAATGATTATAAGTTGGTTAATAAGATTAAATAATTATCAAACCTAAAGCGTAATCATATATAAACTAAATTTCAATATTAAAAGAATATCTTTACTTCTACTTATAAAGTTATGTTTTTTGAACTTTTTACATATTATACATAATTTATGAGTTTTAATATATTGTTGGATGTAAACCATTGTCATTTTGAAGCTATAACTTTTGAACAATTTGTATAAAATTTTTAAATTATAAACTTAAATATAACATTACAGGACCAACTTAAATATAAATTTTAGTTTAACTTAAACAACCCAAATAATATTTTGTATATAGTTAAAATTGATAAATTGTAATGTCTTTCTAATAATGATTATAATTTGGTTAATAAGGTTAAATAAATATCAAACCTAAAGTTTAATCATAAATAAACTAAATTTCAATATTAAAATAATATATATTAATTTTACTTATAAAGTTATGTCTTTAGCTTTGAACATATTATACTTAACTTATTAGATTTAATATGTTGTTGTATGTAAACAGTTATCAATTTAAAGCTACAACTTTGGAACAGTTTGGACAAAATACTTAAACTGTTAATTTAAATATAACATTATAGTGACAACTTAAATATAAATTTCACTTCCACTTAAAAAACCCAATGAATATTTTGTGAATAATTAAAAGTGATAAGTTGTAGTGTTAAATGCAAAAACTAAATTATAATATCAATATAACTAAAATATTTTCTAAAGATATTTGTATAATCGTTAAAAGTTTTCAAATATGTAGCTTAAAATAACAGACAATAACAATAGTTAAAAATAACTCTATATAAATGATTATATTGTTATCTTTAAAATCAAAAAACAATGTCTGATGTTTTAAATAATTATAATGATAGAAATTAAAACGTTAAGAAAATAAATTTTAAAAAATTAATTAACAATATCAAAAACTATAAATAACATTAAGTCATATATTATATTTAATTTTATTCATGGGTAACTCACGAGTAGAATTCATTCAAACGGTTGACATTATACAGTTATAATAGATGTATATATTATCATATAATTCAAAATAATCAATATATTATATCAATTTAGTATACAAATTATTATATCAAATTTAACAACAACGTTATTATTATATTTAAAAAAACATATATTTGTAAATATTTCAACTATATAGGTGTTTCTGCGTAACGCGCGGCGATTTGCCTAGTTCAATATATATATTGAGAAGTTACAAATGAAGAAAAATTTATATCCAAATTAATTAAATTAATGAATGATTAAATTAATTTTATGGTTAATTGATTTTCTCAATATTTGCATTCACCAATCAAATTTCCCGAATTATTTTTTGCTGCTTTTCCTCTTCCACCTCTATTAAGTTCTCGATGATCGCTTCAGTCGCACTCATCAAAAATCCTGGCCAATCCCTACATGCATCCAACAGCAAAGTTAGTTAATTAAGATGAACAGCTTAAAATTTTCAAATGTTAATAAATATAAGATAACGGTTATGTATAATTCTTTTATAGTTTTCGAATCCTACTTTTTGTCCTTGACTTTCTGTCATGCGCAACTTCTTAAGTATCTCGATCAAATCCCATTGTCCCATTGTGACTTGTCGTCTCATTACAAAATCTTGGTGCGTTTAATTTCAATCAATGTTTTGCATGTACATTGCTTTGCTATGGAAGCAAATTAACATACCATTCCTATATTTCACGCACTAAAGCGTAATCCTATATTTGATGCATTTCAATAGCCGTTTTAATGCATCAATATATATTTCATGCAATATGAATTAATGCCAATAACATAAAATGGCTAACGAAGGGCGTATGGATACACAAGCGTGGTCTCTTGGTTCACATTTAACGATCTGCTCATGATTAAAATAATCAGAAAATAATGTTACTTTTTGTTTTTTACGTTTTCAAACAATGTTTCTAAGCCTCTCCATGCATGATGTATTGTGACTTGTATTAAACATAAGTAATGGGTTTGAAGTGTTTACCCGTTTGAAGAATCGAAAGTTAGGCCAACGGTGTACTTAGCCTCCTCGAGAGCGGATTGGAAACTATCTATCTCGTGCTTAGGGCGCCTCCAGTTGTCTTTAATAGTAAGCTCCGATGGTTTAACATCACAAAAAACCGGAATAACCTTCTTCTTAGCCTCCATAATACGTGTCAGTTCATGCAAGCAAAAATACGATTGACAATACCGAGGAGAAAAAACTGCAACACCAACTTTACATTCGCTGATGGCAGTGTCGATTTTATCGAATAATTTATCACCTGGTTTCATATTCTTGCTGTCCAAGAACGGTTGCAATCTTAACCTCCTGAGATGATTATACAAAAGTCCTGCAACGCACTTCTTGGTGTCGATCCCACGGTGGTTAATGAAAACTTCACATGGTTGTTGCTTCGGGGGGACTATAGGGGCAGTCGGTGGTTTTTGGTAGTGGATGATATTGCGGTAAACATTCTTTGATGAGGAAATTGAACGTTGCATGGAAAACTAAAACTGAGTCAAAATTTGTAATTTGTTAAATGGAGAGTTGTATGTGTCTGTTGAATCACTTGAATCAGATTTTGTTTCGGTGAAATGGGTATTTATAGAGAAAGAAAGAAACTAATCTTGAATTTAGAATTTTCGGAGACAAAATCGTAGAAAAGTATATATAGTAAGAGTAAAGTGGTTTGATTATTTTGACTCTTTTGGTGTTAAAAACCTTCAAACACGGGAACTAATTATTAAATTAAAACCGAATAGAATAATAAACAGAGCTATAAATCTTATTAATATCTTTTCTGGATTAAACGCACCATATATGTATATTCGTTTGAATTAATGATCTTACAGATAGCATTTTCAATTAAAGTTTGTAATTACTAAGAAATATTTTTGATTGATACGTTACCACATTGAAACCTAGAACATATTATATTCGTTAAGCTAAAGTAGTATTATCCACTGATCCACATGTAAGAAATTAATTCAAATTATTGAGAATAGATTTGACTTGTTCAAAAATTCATCTTGTTATACAAGCAAATGGAATGTGGACTTGAAAATATACATGTGGAAAAACATTGAATTTCTATTTTCCGCAAGATAATTCAGTTTTTGATACGGAGTAGATAAATCAAATATCACAAGATGTTTTTTTTATGGATACTAAAAATGGATAATGACTTAAAAGGGTAATGTATTTTACGATTTGTACACAGTTTGTCATTAAAATTTTTTTTTTCGTCCACGTTTACCCCTTCAACTTGTTAAACTGTGCACATTCAGTCATTATGACCGGTTACTCCAAGTTAGCAGCAAAAATGACTTAATAAGATAATATATTTTTCATTTTGTACATATTTAGTCATTAATATTTCTGTACATATTTATTCCTTAACATTTCTTTGTTTCAAAATAAATCTTTTTTTTTGTACTCATTCAGTACTTATGAATGATTTTTTTAGGTTTTTCTCACGACATCTTACGTGGGACAATCATTTATGAGGTGTTTAGGGTTGTTGATACTTATGTCCAAAACGATCTCGACTACTTGGTTGCGTAGGTCTTTTGGTTTGGCTTAGGTATTGTGTTCTGAACGTCGTAACTTCTTTATACGATATAAGATTTTAACGATCTTTATATCCACATGTTCATTTTTTCATTAAGATTACTCCTGTTAAAATTTATATATTTTTACTTACGATTTTATAAAAATAAAAAAAACATCCATACATGCATTCATAAAAAACGTATGGTTAGGGGCAGACGCAGAAATATATAGTAGGTGTTGCCGAGATGAAATAGGCATTACTAATACATGAGAAAAAGGTATAAACGAAAAAAAATCGAAAACCTTTCTACTGCAGACAGAAAAAACAGGTGTTTGTCGGTGCAACACCAGGACCAGGCTAAATCCGCCCCTGCATATGGATACAAAAATTGTAACTTAAAATATATTATTTTTTAATGGGACTAAATGAAAGTTGTAGTAGACTAAAATACGAACGCATGTATATAAAGATCGTTAATATCCGAGATCATATGAAGAAATTATGACGTTCAGAACACATGATCTAAGCAACCAAATAATCGAGATCACAATGGACATATGCATCAAAAGGCTCAAACACCTCATTAATTAATGTCATACGTAAGATTTCGTGAGAAAAACCTAAAGAAATCATTCATAAGTATTGAATGAGTACAAAAACAAAATTGACTTATTTTGCAAAAAAAAATTAAAAAGAAATTAAGGACTAAATGTGTACAAAGTGAGAAATATATTACCCTATTAAGTCATTTTTACCAGCTAACCTAGAGTAGCGGGTCATAAGGATTGAATGTGTACAGTTTAACAAGTTTAAGGAGGTAAATGTGGACGAAAAAAAACTCAGTGACCAAATGTATACAAATCAAAAAATACATTACCCGTTTAAGTCATTATCCCTTCTAAAAAAGGACAACCCATCCTAAAACAATCAAATTTTTTTATATTTTATACCTTTGACTAAAGAATCCATAATTTTAAACAAACAAAATATAGTGGTCCCCCCTATATATACATAACTAGACAAATTCACGTGTGTTGCGTGGCATATGTTAAAAATAAATTGTTAGAATATTGAAAAATATATGTTTATAATTGTCATTTTATTGACAATAACTTTGACATAATATTTTTTCACTAATTTATACATATATATATATATATATACATACATATCATACTATATTATAAAGGAAACATTTTTCCTTTCACAACATTTATTTGAAACTCTCATGCATTTTTCCTTTCACCACATTCATTTGAAACTCTCATACATTTTGCTTTCACCACATTCATTTGAAACTCTCATGACTTTTCAATTTCTTTCTAATAGTAATTATAAGTTGGTTAATAAGGTTAAATAAATATCAAACCTAAAGTGTAATCATATATAAACTAAATTTCAATATTAAAATAATATCTTTACTTCTATTTATTAAATGATGTTTTTAACTTTTAACATAATATACTTAATTTATTAGTTTTAATATATTGTTTGATGTAAACCATTATCATTTTAAAGATACAATTTTGGAACAATTTGTATAAAATACATAAATTATTAATTTGAATATACAATTACAGGGTTAATTTAAATATAAATTTTAGTTTAACTTAAACAACCCAAAGAATATTTTGTAAATAGTTAAAAGTGATTAATTGTAGTGTTTTCCTAATAATGATTATAAGTTGGTTAATAAGGTTAAATAAATATCAAACCTAAAGTGTAATTATAAATATACTAAATTTCAATTTTAAAATTATAAAGGAAGCATTTTTCCTTTCACCACATTCATTTGAAACTCCCATGTATTTTTCCTTTCACCACATTCATTTGAAACTTCCATGCATTTTTCCTTTCACCATATTCATTTGAAATTCTCATAACTTTTCAATTTCTTTCTAATAATAATTATTAGTTGATTAATAAGGTTAAATAAATATCAAACCTAAAGTGTAATCATATATAAACTAAATTTTAATATTAAAATAATATATTTGCTTCGATTTATTAAGTGATGTTTTTAACTTTTAACATATTATACTTAATTTATTAGTTTTAATATATTGTTGGATGTAAACTATTATCATTTTAAAGATACAATTTTGGAACAATTTGTATAAAGTACATAAATTATTAATTTGAATATAACATTACAGGGTCAATTTAAATATAAATTTTAGTTTAACTTAAACAACCCAAAAAATATTTTGTAAATAGTTAAAAGTGATTAATTGTAGTGTTTTCCTAATAATTATTATAAGTTGGTTAATAAGGTTAAATAAATATCAAACCTAAAGTTTAATCATAAATATATACTAAATTTCAATTTTAAAATAATATTTTTACTTTTACTTATAAAGTTATATCTTTAAATTTGACCATATTATACTAAATTTATTAGATTTAATATGTTGTTGTGTGTAAACCATTATCAGTTTAAAGCTACAACTTTTTAACAGTTTGGTCAAAATATTGAAATTGTTATTTTAAATATAACAATACAATGTCAACTTAAATATAAATTTCAGTTCCACTTAAAAAACTAAAGAATATTTTGTAAATAATTAAAAGTGATAAATTGTAGTGATAAATGCAAAAACTAAATTATAATCTCAATTTAACTAAAATATTTCCTAAAGATATTTTTATAATCGTTAAAAGTTTTTAAATAAGTAGCTTAAAATAACTTACAATAACAATAGTTAAAAATAACTCTATATAAATGATTATATTGTTACCTTTAAAATCAAAAAACAATGTTTGATGTTTTAAATAATTATAATGATAGAAATTAAAACATTAAGTAAATAAATTTTAAAAAATTAATTAACAATAACAACAACTATAAATAACATTAAACCATATATTATATTTAATTTTATTCATGTGTAACTCGCGAGTAGAAGTCATTCAAACGATTGAGATTATGCAGTTATAAGAGATGTATATATTATCATATAATTCAAAATAAGCAATATATTATATCAATTTAGTATACAACTTATTATATCAAATTTAACAACAACGTTATTGCTATATTAAAAAAAAACATATATTTGTAAAGACTTCAACTAGATATGTGTTTCTGCGCAATGCACGAGCATTCGCCTAGTATATATATATATATATATATATATATAGATATATATATATATATATATATATATATATATATATATATATATATATATATATATATATAATAGTGAGGTATCGCACGGCGATGCAACATAGTTTATTTTGGCGATTAGTTTTCAATGACGATTACTTTATAGCGGTGATTAGTTTTTCTTTTCTTTTAGCACGTTGGTGGACGATAATTAATTTCATTTTGATGGGTCGTTTTGGGTTAATATAAATGTTTTATTTTAGTATAAAAAAATATTTCATATTTTTGTTAAAATTATATCTATGTTATTTTTATTTAAAAAATATATTGTATTTTTGTTCAAAATTTTAAAATAAATTGTCAATTTTTAGTAAAATGTGTTTATTAATGGCTATGATAAAATATTATAGTTAGTTGTTGTTTAATGTTAAAAACTTATATTATTTTAGTTATTTTCAAACGTGTAAAATATCAACTATACTATAATAACAATGTATCAATTACTATATACTTAAAAAATCTTAAATGCGTTATAATAAAATATAAAAAAATATAAATATTTAATAATTTTATTTATTTTAAATAAATTAAGACAAAAGGTTATTCAACAAATATATTCAAAATAAAACACTATACAGTTGTATCGCACCGTTATGACAATGATGAAAATACTTTCCTTTCATACACATGTGACATATAAAAAGATGCAATACATCAATTGATTTAATCAAATCAGTACGTAGTTGATAAAAGACAATTAACATATGTAGTATTATCTCTTTTTTTTAATGTTGTTTAAAAAAAGTAATATCTATTTTAAATGTATAAAGCAATAAAAT